AACCACAATTAATCCTGCTAACCATTACTCAAAATTTAGTCATAAGTCCTATTACTGTCATCCGCTATCCCTTTCACCAGATCCTTCTGGAAAACAGGGCAACAATCCAGTAGGGATTCTATCTTACCCTCCTTATTCTGAAATGAAGCACAAGCATGAAAGCTTGTAAACCAGCCACTTCATACCATTATAGCCCTCACATTTTTGATAGCCAATGTCTAAATTTCTCTTCCCTATCAACCTGGTGTGGCACTGCAGGATAATGCACTGGACTGAAAGGTCAGTTTGAACTGCAAGCTTCGTTGTTAAAATCTACCAGCCGCTCCTCGGAAACCTTATGCAGAGTTCTATGAGTTGGAGGTGATGCAAAGGCACTTTAACAACAACAAATGAACCCAGTACACTGAGGAAACAAGGCTGTTACTTGATATGAATAATCCTTCCAGTCTGGTTGGAATTTTGAGTCATTGCATTCATAAGCAAAGGTCTAGTTAGTCATACTGTAGCAATTTACACTTGTTCACAGCATCAAACATTTTATTTTTCTTGGGCCATGTTCTAGTCAACTAACCATACACCCTAGGTTAAATGGGTACTAGCTACAAGTGTGGGAGTTCATAAACACCTCCTTGCATTTTAGACCAGCTGGCCACTTTACTTTCAGTCCTAGTCCCCAGGGGCTAGATCAGTGTTCATGAGCTCAAAAATTTGCACATCTTCCTATACTTCAGACCAGGCAGACTGAGCCTCCATGGTACTTTTAATATTCTTCTCCAGCACTATAACTCAAATGCATCAAGTCTTTTATGGTCTTCCTTATTCATTACCCAACTTCCACATGCATATGAGTACAATGAATATATCATAGCTTGGATCAGGCCCATCTTAGTCATCAAACTAACATTTTTGCTCTTCAACACTTCAAATTGCTCTTGTGCAGCAGATTTGCTTAATGTAATACCTCATTTGATTTCTTCACTGCTGATTCCATGATTGTTGATGGTTGATCCAAGCAAAATGAAGTCTTTGACAAATTCATGTATCATGATATTATTTATTGGTTGAATGCTGACAATTTTTGTTTTCTTTACATTGAGGTGCAACCCATACCAAAAGGCTGTGGTCTTTGATCTTCCATCAGTAAGTGTTTTAAATTCTTTTCATTTTCAGCAAGCAAGGTTGTATCATTTGCATAACCCAGACTGGCTTTAGTGGTTGCTGCATAAATTTGAATAACAATAGTATTAACTGCTATTCCTGGTGTGGAGCTGTAGGTATTCCTGGTGTGGACTGCTAATGCAAGGTGGAAGGTATAAATCCA